AATAACAAACAGCCATTCCTGTGAAATACACTCAACTTCTGACCCCTTCACATCACTTCTGCTCTGGTCCAAGCTATCACATCTCACCGGGAATATTGTAAGAGCGACTTTCCAGCTCCAGCTTTCCTCCATCCCATGCACATAGCAGATGTACATCATCTTGTGCTTTTGCCAAGCACAATAATCATCTTATAACTTAAGTTTGATTATGTTACTCCTCTATTCAACTATTTTCCTTTCTCACTGAGATCAAAACCTTATTAAGACCCTATATGATCTAATCCCTGGTTACTTCTGACTTCATTTTCCACAACTCTTCTACTTGCTCACTTCATTTCTGCAACACTGACCTTCTTGTATTATCTGGAATGTACAAGCATATTTTCATTTTGCATATACTGTCCCCTCTGCCTGAAAGCCTCTTCCCCCAGGTACACAAATTACTTACACATTATCTCCTTAGTGAATATTTTACTGACCCCTAATTCTAAGTTGCACTGCTCCTCAACATTCTCTCTCCTTCACACTTATCACTATATCACAACATACTATAAATTTTAATTATTAACTTTTTTTTTAACCCACTAGAACATAAGCCTCATGAGAAACTGGTTTCTTTCCCCAGTGCTGGGAATAGTGACGTTCATATGGTAAATACCTAATTAACTTTGCTGAAAAGTTTTTGTTGAATACCTCAACCTTAAATATCATCTTATCAATATGTAAAGTTGCACACCTCCAAATTTCTTCACTTTTTAATCTGTAGCTCAGCATAGAGAGCCACTATCTGCCCTCCTGCAAGTCAGAAATGCTAGAGTCATTAGCAACTTGAAACATTGGCTGCCCCTCATTCTTTAAGTGACATGGATCCTAACCTCTGCTTACCTCTTTCTCAAATTAACACTTCTCTGCAACTCCTCAGCCTCCCTCTTCAGTTCAGGTTCTCACTAGATCCATACTGACCAAAGGATAAAGTATATATTTCTCAACCTGACAGATAAGGCCTCCTTTCCACCTGACTGTAGTCCACCTTTAAGTCACATCTCCTTTTCCTCAGTGTACCCTCCCCTCCATGAGCCAATCTCATTTAATCAATTCAGCATGCTTTATGAGCTTCTAATACTTTTCATAATATCCATTCTACCTGAAACATTCCTTGTGCTTTGCAATAAATACTTCCATAGCCATTTCACAGGCCCAATCTCAAATATTACCTCTATACCATCATCAAAATAACAGCAGCTAAATACTACTGAGTGCTTATTATGATCCAAGCAATTTATTTGCATCATGTAATTTAATCCTTAAGCCTATTAGAAAGGTACTAATAATTTCCTCAAACTATACATGGTAAAATGAGGTTAGAAGAAGTTGAAAAACTTGTCCTGGGTCACAAAATAAATAAACAGGTGAACTAGGATTTGATATTTGATCTATCAAATTCCAAAGCTTTGATGACAAAACTCTACTTAAACAGTTGAACTGACCTTCAAATGAATATTCAGAATGTCTTTACTGACTTGAGTCACTTTGAAACCAATAATTTTATTGCTGTGAGGTAAGAACTACAAACCACAAACTCTAAGAAGGGGCCACTTTAAAACTACCCAGGTAATATAAGAAGGACCTCATTATCAGCTATTATTTTAGTTTGCAGAAAGACAAATACCTTTTGTGGATATATCTGTGTGATAAGAAAAAATAAATGTGATGCCATTAGTGTTCATTTACAACACATGCGGGGTTATCGGCAAGGTAAAAAGACCAGAGCTCTTGTATTTTCATACCACAAAACCCACAGGAAGGTCACCTGATATAGTCAAATGTCCTCTGGAATGCCACATCACTGCAATCTTTCTATACAATAATTATAACTCCTCTAATCTTCGCCTTTCTTACTACGGCTTCATTCACTGACCTTTTCATTATCAGTCACTTTGCTGGGTTTGCACATAGCGTCCCACCCAAAGGTGAATTTGATGGAGCCTCTGAAGGCTTCCCCAATGTCTCCATAGAAATGGCCCCAAGGTTGTCTCCAAAATGGCCCTGTTTGAGTTGCCATGGTAAACAACCAGGCAGATTGCTATATTCAGTTCTCTGCCAGGGTCGTCATGGTGACTGCAAAGGACTGCTCCTTAGAAGGACCTCACAAGGGCACGTTGCCATGGTGACCCTATCCTGCATATTTCTAAGCAACTTCCTTCCAGTCTCTCTGTGGCCAATCATGGCAGGTTCGTTTTTAGAGTAACTCAGGTAGGCTTCTCCCAAAGATACCATCCTAAGACACAGGGATTTTGGAAGTGAGAAGGCCTATAAACAAATTAATTGTTTGAAAATATAAACAGTGCCATTCACAAATCATTAAATCAGTCCCCATAAATTTTAGGAAAGATTTGTTTTGATGAGTAACAAAAAAACACCTGCAATGCCTCTGTTAAATGTGTCTGTTTTGAAATGTAATCAACCAAAAGTATCTTACAGGATATAATGCAGATAATTTAAAGTTTTAAATTTTTGCAATCTTACAATGTAGCAACTTCATGGGTATTAAACACTTTATAGTAGACATGCATCACATGCATCACACACATACACACACAAATGAAATCATAAATATATACTGATGATTAAAATATAATGCAGTATCAAGGAAGTTCTGATTAAGCAGAAGACAAAATATTTGCAAGCCCAATGGAAAAATAAATGTGTGTTTTTTTTAAACTAAGTTGGGAAATCCTAGCCATATTTGAACCCAAGCTATTTTTTTTCCCTTGTGCTTTTGTGGTTGGAACAATCCCAACTAAACTTCCTTTCATTTTAAAACATGCATATAAGCCATTCTGAACATATGCTTGGTTTTTTTCTGCCATGCTATTATTCTCCTGAAACTTTAAAATATTCTACTGTTCCTAGTATTTTGTCAAGAGCAAAATTCTGTCTAACCATTAACTTTAATATCCTTAGTTATTTAACGATTAAAAACAAATTGTAAAATTCAAAAGATGCAATTACAATTTCTATACACATATCCATCCTTTCATTGTTCCTTCTAATTGACTCAACTCTATGTATATATAGTTAAGAAACATATGTATATGTTTCATATACATATTCTTACATATATATAATATATATACTTATATATGTATATATACATACAAGTGTGTGTATATATATAAGAAACATATATACATACATATGTTTCTTAACTATATATATATTGAGAGAGTTAGGAGTTGGTTGTTTCCTATTAAATGGAAAAGGTTAATGTTGGGTTCTCTCTAAATCATAAAGATGATTTTTCCCTTGAGCACTAGTTCCTCTAGTTCTGTACTTTCCGTTATTCTGTCTCACAGATTCCTTTCTCCTACTCTGTCCACAGCAGCCCACCACACTCCCCACTCACATTCCCCTGGGGAGAACAGCATTTCAGTTAATATACATAGTCAAGAAACATGAGAATAATTCATAGCATAAGAATTCTAAGTTGCATAGAGACATGCAAGTTAGACTTTGTAGACATAAGGACTCTTTGTATTTGTAGTCATCTTTTACTGGTTTTCACAATATTGATTAAATAATGAAATAATTGCACAGTCTGATTTTGCAGAGACTTCACGCTTCAGGTCTTTAATATGCTTTCACAAATCAGCGTAGTCACTGCAGCTTCCACTCGTTCCTTCACTATGTATTTATTGAGTGACTACCACGTGCCAGGCCGTGCACAAGGTCTGGGAATACCCAGTGAACAACAACAACAAAAATCTGCCCTTAAGGTGTTTCAATATGTAGAGGGCAAGAGAGGTAAAATACACACAAAGGAAACTAATTAGGAAGTTATATATTGTGTTATAAAGTGATTAAAGTTTGGGAGAAAATTAATGTGCTGGCGGGGACGGGATGCAGAGTCCTTGGCCAGGTCAGGGCCGAGGAGGCTGCAATACTACACATTTACAAGAAGTTTCAAGGACTCCCCCACTCACCTGATGTAAACGCACTCAATATTGTATTCAATAACAACCTAAATCCTTAATAAAAAGGAAAATTTGAAAAATCTTTCATAATGCACTCAGTAGAAGTTCATTTGAGTAATAATCCATTTCTCTCTCTTCTATACCTGCTTTCCAACAGGGGGCACTGTCTGAGGCAGGCAAGAGACGCCATCACCTCCAATCCTACTCCGCATTTCAAGACCTACATATAAACTTAGGCAAGTTACTCTCTTTCAAGTGTCTTTTCTCTTCTAAAATGAGAATAATTCTTTCTACCCGATAATATTACTCTGAAAATGCAAAGATACTAAAATATAAATACAAAAATACCATGGGTAAAATAATCTATATCTAGAATTTGCTTTACAATACTTTGGTATAAATTTAAAATGAGGAGAGACAATAAAAGTTGAGCAAAATGTTGAGAATTAAGGAAGCCCAGTAATGAATATATGAGAACTCATAATATGTTATTAGATCTCATTTTCTTTGAAAATTTCCTTAAGAATATATCTTAAAGGAAAGATTAAACTTGCAAAGATACTCCCTTTCATAAAGATTTTAACAATACCTAGAAAACAGTATATAGAAAAATTAATGTATTTTATATAAATATCTCCAAAAGCGAGGAAAAAAGTAGATTTATTTACTGAGTAGTTAACCAGGCTAGAATAATGCTAGCATTACCTTTTATACTTTTTTCCAACATGTTATCTCCTTTTTAAAAAATATCACATCCCTGCAATCTTTCTAAACAATAACTATAACTCTCATCTTTGCCTTTCTTACTAGAGCTAATAGTATGAGACATAAGTCAGAAAAGCAGAAAAGCATCATTGCTAAGCTTGTAAACTCACATGGTATTCAATGCATAATGAATTTTAAAAATTAGTTTTACCATAATTTGCTGAATGCTTAGAAACAATCACGTAAGGAAGCTCTACATTGCTAATAAACATTTTAGACAATAAATTCTACATAGTTTTATCAAGAAACTTAAAAACTTACCGGATCAGCGTCTGTCTTTTTGTAGGTCAAAGCTTCAACTTTGGAATCCAGTTCTGCTTGTATTTGGTCTCTTCTTTTCATAACACCCTTTACATTAAAACACACAGATAAAATAGGCTGTACATGGTTTTAATAATCTCCTATAATAAATATATATTTAAGAATATAAATTGTGGGGAACATTCCCGCGTGAGACCCCCAAAAGGCGTGAGTCTCACTATACGGTGAGTTTGATCCCAAACACAGTTTCCTACTGGAGGCAGTCGAGCTATCCGGAAAGAGGATCTGAAAGATGAATGATCAGTTTCTAGTATCAACCACAATATCGTTTGGGCCTAAATGATAGACCTAGTGACCCCCTGCCAGCAACCGGTTCCTGCTTTTAACCTTTTTATGACTCTTTAAGAATAAGTCTTAAACCTTACCTGACTGCCTTGTACCCTAGATAATGGTTTAACTGTCACTATAAGGGATGGCTTTGATTTCTGACTCAGAGACTCCTGAATGGGGAAGTCGAGATAAGTTGAGTCAGGAGTAGACAAAGGAGAATCCGGTTAAAAGATATTCTGATGAGCAAAACCAAAAAACCTTTTCACATCTCAGTTCTAAAACAAGATCAAACCAGAGATACCTGCAGCCAGGAGGAATAATGTTTGGATGTAAACAAGCTTTGTGATTACAGGAAATTCTGTTACTTTTTACAACCACTGATTGCATATCTGACTTCTCTATTGTATAGGCCATGTGAGGTATACATTTGCATTTCCTCTTGCTATGACATAAACCAGAGCCAAGAAAGTGTATTTATTCCTGGCCTTTGAAAAATAAAATTTGCTGTTTAGGCACAGCCTATCAGCCCTCCGGACGCCTCGCTTTCTCTCTCTCTGTCTTTATTATTTTTCCAGGTGCACTCCCTCTTCCAGGTGTTGGGACCCTCTTGCAGGTCGAGAGACCCCTGGCAGACGTGCCTACCCGTCCCGGATGGTCCACGACAATAAATAGCATCTCTTCCCCAAGGCATCAGTCATTTGGGGATGTAACATATTTAAAAAGTTGTTTCTTTTTTTTATCTCTAGAAGGTAAATTGAAATAAAGTATTTAAGAGGTGGTTTTTTCCTATAAATGTTTTATTAGTTTTCCTAATGCACATTTTACCCATTTAAGCATTCATTGTACATATGTACTACATTTGATGGAATACTCTAAATTCTTCAAAAATAGTAAAGAGCAAAACAAACCAGAAAAAAATCAGAAGCACTAGAATTATATACTATGGCATAAACTAGTTGCAGATAGGAGGTCACATGGACCACTCAACTGGAAATATCTAGACTCTGTGGCAGCCTTCTTATCTGACTCCAAAGGGACAGATAATCAAACAGGAAATCATGGTGAGACATCAGAAAACTAAAGGATGCATTCATATCCTAAGCATTTTATTTTAGCTCAAAATATAAAATATTAATCAGTTAGCCAAGCTTTCGATGAGAAATCATAGCTTCCTCTCTGATAGGAGTTTCATCTTGTTTGCTTGATTTCATGTTTCAGAGTTTGCAAACTTAAAGCACCCGTGTGAAGAAATCTGAGTGCAGAATCCACCTACATTTTACAATGCATTTAAGTAATTCGCATTTCTTCCGAGACACCTAACTTAGACTTTATGGACACAAGGACTCTTTTTATTTGTACTCATCTTTTGCTGGTTTTTACAACATTAAATAATGATATTCTAATAGGCGCAAATGGCCTAAACAGGTCAAGGAAAAAATAAAACTTTGGATAAGCAAACAATTCAACCAGCTAGAAAAGAAGTACAGGACATAAAAGAGAAGGGCCTTCTGGTGTTTTAAAGAAGGAAAGAAAGTAGAAACAAATCAGTTCCATCAAACAAGATGGATCTACGCTATTTAAATAATAATCAAAAAGCATTAAGAATAGAGAGTATCCTGAGAATTATCTAGCACAGTTTTGCACCTGGAGTTTTGCACTCTTAGGACATTTAAAGCAGGCCAGGTGCAGTACTTCACACCTATATCACATCTCAGCACTTTGGAAGAAAGACATGGGAAGATCACAGGAGTTCGAGGACGTAGGGAGCTATGATCATGCCTCTGCACTCCAGCCTGTGCAACAGAGTGAGACCACGTCTCTTAAAAAATAAAAAAGAAAAATAAAAAATTCAAAGGAAATGAACACTTTTCCTAGTTGTGAAGAAGTCCACAGAAAATTCAACTAATTATCAAAAATTCCTTCATATTTACCTCAATGCTTAATTGTCCTTAATGTCAGGAAAGACCTTCCTTTCTTTGACCCAAATAACTGACTCTCTAATTCAGTCCTATTTATTTAAGGTCTATTTCAATAAAGATGAAATATGCACAAATGTGTTTTAAGTAAAAGGTTGCTTCAGGGGACAACTGGTAAAAATTACATGAAATTAATCATTTTAATCAAAGAATTATTTTTCATTATTTTAGCTCAAATAGAAAAGAACATTCCAATATCAAAAAGAACAAGAACAGCTACATAAATACTACTTATTATACCCTAGGAGTCTAAAAATTATTTCAATCAAATGAGAACCTATAAAATAATTATATTTACTATAATTTTCCATGCCCTTAATAATGTAAGACTTCAATTATATAATTTCCATCTTGATATAATATAGGAGAAAACATGAATTAAGGAAACAGAATATACAAATCAGATCTTCTTGAAGATTTACATAAGAAAGTGATCAATAATGAAGTGAAACCAAAGGAGGTAGCCAAGGAAATGGATAGAGAGGCAAAAGAATCATCAACAGTGAAACACTGAAGGCTTTTGGGAAACAAGAAGCTTTGTTTACAGGAGGACCCCAATAAAGTGAAGAACAGAAGCCTGAAATGTCTGTGCAATATTGAATGGTTCTGTCAAAGGAAACCTACACATGATAAACAAAAGAGAGGCAGGTCTCAAGCTGAAAGACAAAGTGAGCTTTTCTTACCAAAACAAGGAAAAGTTTTAAAGAAAGAAAAAAATGGAAAGAAATCCCTAGAAATCAAGGGTACACGTCAGAAGAAACTATGGTTCCCATTATAAAGAACAGATAAAAGGAGCTATATATTTGAATGCAAGCTGACTCCTTCCCCACCACCACCCTAAAAACACCAGAGACCTGAGGGTGCCAATTTGCCTGTGCAAAGTATTGCGGGCACAGAAAAACACTGGATGAAAAACATTAGCTTTGCAGATAGCATTGCTAAATTCCAAATATCCAGAAACCTTAACTTGAACTGAGAAAGTAAATGTAAAACTTTGATAAAGGAGGAATAAAAGCCTTTTCAAACAGTGAAAGAAAAACATTTTAACTTGAAAGATTTATTTTAAAAGAAACCAGAAGGCAGAACATCAAGATCTGACTCAAGTACTTTCCACATAATGGTACTAAATATATTGCTAAATCAAATGTACCTAGAAGCAGGAGAGCAGTTCTTTCATGAAAAGAAATCCCCAACACACTAAAAAAAATTTTAAAGTAAAATTTCAAAAGGTTTGGAAAAACTAATCATATTCCCTACATAAATTTCGACTGAGGATGCTTCAAGTCTATGTGTAATCTGATAAATTGTTTGTGTTGCTATTGAGTACTGAAGATTCTTGCTTATTATCAATAGGTTGCTTCATTTATTTAGGCACACAGTGAACAAATATTTATTGAACACCTACATGCAAAACAACCCAGCTAGGACAAAAAGATACTGGTTTTAAAGAAAAGAAGTATAGTTGTCTTTATAGAGCTTATAATCAGGTAAGGGAGTGAGGTACAATTAGAATTAGGCGTTCTTACCATTAACATTTCACTATAAAGCACGTACTCATGTACAACAGGAAGCAGAGCCTCTCCAAGTCCAGACATCCGCTTTTCAGTGGCCTTACAGCATCTGTCAATGCAGCTGGCAACATCTTTTAGAATATCAACCAGATCCTCTTCTGATGCTGACCACAGAATATGAATTGGGCCATATTCTTTCATTTCATCAAAATATTCTAAAACAAATGACTTAATAAGTTCTTCAACATACAAAAGTTTTCAAAACACCTGTATCATAGACAGCAAGAAAGGGCCTTATTTCCCTCATTGTGCACATGTTGTTACAAAAGAACATAAGAAAACAGATACCATCCTACATTAAATCAACTCACTACTGTCCAAGTGTAATCAATAACAACAATCATTTGCATTGTCAAAATTGTCCTGGCTTGAAAAATAAATTACATGACCATCATATCTATAATAGACTTCTGCCTACCACACTACTATATCTGAGTGCCTCATAGGCAACATGCCCTAAAAAAAACTTACCTTTTATCTCTTTTTTTTCTGACTATATATTCCACTTAATGGTAATTACTATCCCCAGATTTAAGCAAAAAATCAGGAGGTTATCCTAGAATCCTACTTAACACAGAGCCAGTCAATCACCAATTCCAATACTTCTATATCTTAAGCTATCCATCTACCTACCCCATGTACTTATCTTCACTTCCACCACCATCAGCATCTCTAACTGGTACTGCCTCAAGAGTATCCTAACTATCCTCCCTCTATTTTTGTCACAGTATAAAAACATTGTCTCAGCTGGGTGTGATGACTCAAGCCTGTAATCCCCACACTTTGGGAGTCTGAGGCGGGGAGATCACGAGGTCAAGAGATCGAGACCATCCTGGCCAACACTGTGAAACCCCGTCTCTACAAAAATTAACTGGGCATGGTGGCACGCACCCATAGTCCTAGCTACTTGGGAAGCAGAGACAAGAGAATTGTTTGAACCTAGGAGGAAGAGGATGCAGTGAGCTGAGATCGTACCCCTGCTCTCCAGCCTGGGAGACAGAGCGGGAATCCATCTCAAAAAAAAATTTAAAAAAATTGATTCTTCATAGCTAAATTAGAATTAGTTACATTAAACCATTACCATTAGTCCTCACTGTCTGCTTCTCTAGGTACAATGTGAAATTCTCTGATTAAGATTTTAACTCAAGCCAAATTGCTTGCTCATTCATGAATAGCCCATGATTTCTCTCAACAAAAACATTTGCACATGTCTCTCTGCTTTGTTCTCCATTTCTATCACCTGACAACCTACTTCTAACCCTTTAAATTCGAGTTCAAATAAATCTCCTCTGATTCTGTTTCAAAGGACTCATAATTGCTTTGGTTCTCATTGAGCCTATCATAATTTTATACTTCTATTAAAGCATTATCCCACTGTATTATAGATGCCTGATGACTCAAATGCAAGCAGGCCACATACGTCTTAAAATAGGGACTGGCCTGGCGCAGTGGCTCATATCTGTAATCCCAGCACTTTGGGAAGCTGAGATGGGTGGATTATGAGGTCAGGAGATGGAGACCATCCTGGCTAACATGCAGAAACCCTTTCTCTATTAAAGCTACATAAAATTGACCAGGGGTGGTGGTGGATGCCTGTAACCCCAGCTATTCTGGAGGCTGAAGCAGAAAAATCGCTTGAACTCAGGAGGCGGATGTTGCAGTGAGCTGAGATGGCACCACTGTACTCCAGCCTGGGTGACAGAGTGAGACTCCAGCTCAGAAACAACAACAACAACAACAACAACAAAAGAAAAGAAAAACTGGGACTGAGTTATTAATGTGTTCAATAAATATTTTCATATCAATGAAGAATGCATACATGAGTAACCAAAGGCCATTCGGTGTTTGATATGCTATGTATTCAAAAATGTGGATTTCATTTTAAAATGTGAATATTTTTAAGATTTTACATTTTTACTTTCACACTTAATTTTCAATGACATATAGCTTTTTGCAGTAGAAAATTTACAAGCAGTGAGCATTTTTTGTTCACTATCCATATAAATACAATTAAATTCTCTATATTTAACCATCTTATAAATCATTAGAATTTGCTGACATCTGTTGTATTTCTCTAAATTAAACTATTAAAACTTTAAAAGTTTGTATTAAATAAAAAGTTTAAAATATAAAATTTAAAAACAATGAGATATTAGTTGCTACCTAATAAACATTTAATCACCTCTGAAATCCTTCCAAACTCTATCCTCCTGAGCTTAAGCCTGTCTTTATGTAAAATAGTGACCAGACTGAACTAATTTCCAGAAAAGAAAATTTTCCACTTTCTTTTCTCAATTTGGGTATATATCAATGCCTGTCATTAAATCTAAATAATATTTATGTTTATAGGCAAAGCTTTGCTAAAATTCTAAACTGTGCTTACATACCACTCAAATCACATTTGTATGCAAGCATTTAATTAGCTGCACTGTAATTTGTCTGTTAATATATATATATTTCCCAACTAGACTGTGAGCTTAACAGATACCATCTTAATTACTCTTTGATACTCATTGATAGCTTATATGGCTCCTAATTGCCAATAGCTTCCAGAGATCTCTTTGAATTGCTATATCAGCTAACTATGCATCCAGAATCTACTTAATAGATCTAGAATCACAGAACCTAGTTACAATAATTCGCTTCTTCAGATTTTTTTTTTAAAGGGACAAATAATAAATATGAGGGCAAACCAAGGAGGTTTAAAACAAATTATTATACTACATTCAGTCGCTACAATAATCTCATCAGGTGTCATCAGGTGCATGAAAAAGAAGGCAGAAAAAGGGCAAAGAATATTCAGTTATAATATTTTTTCTAGATCTCTTTTTAGAACCAATCAATTCTTAATAAAGTACATTTTCCTACACCATTCCAAATGCTACACTCATTCATTTGTGTTTTTTTTCAATCATTAAACAAATTTTAATTGAGTACTTATTATGTTTAAACACTGTCTGGATACTAGAAAAAAAAACTTTGCCAGCTTATACTGACGGGCAGTACAGTTTAGTAGAGCATGATTAACGAGTAAGTCATCAACTTAGGGACTTTGGGTTTGTCTTTAAGTAGTTCCTCATCTCTAATAACAACTTACATTTGGAAATTATTTGCTGACTCAGTTATCTATTTTTATTGCAATTAGAAAATTACGGAAAAATCATCACATGATTAGAATTAGAAAAAAAATCATAAATTCTTATTTATAAACCAAAAAAAAAAAAAAAAGAGAGAGAGAGAGAGAGAGAATAGGAAAAGAGGCAGATTTTTCAATTCGTAAATCTCTCTCCCATACTTTGACAGGCTTAATACAGCGTATCTCGTCCCTCCAGAAAAAAATAATTACTAGAAAATGTGAAAACCCTCTTTCCTGAAACATCACTTCTTTGATTCTAAGCTCTGTTCCATGTTGAATATAAACCTCACACAACTGCATCCACTAATCTTAAACTCGGGCTTACTTTACCACTATCTTCTATGAATGGGAAATAGAGCAGCTAGTGATTGGTGAAAGCGAAAATGCAGATTGCCTTCAAAATCATTTAGGAATCAGAAATGTCCTACCACATGGCTGGGAAGAAGCCACACTTTGAAGCTGACATTCTAACTGAATGCTGTAGGTATGATGGTGTAGTTGCTCTCCTGTACCAACATACGTGAAGAGTCATCAGAAACTCAACAACTTTGAAATCACATTTCAGTAACTCTACTTACCCCTTTCTTCCTTATAAATTCTCTGAGATATTTTATCTATCAAATTTATTTTCTGGCTAAATAGTTCAATAAAGTTATTCATTTCCATGAACTCCTCTGGGCGGTTTTTAACTCCTCTCATTGAGGATGCAACAGCTCTGACCGTTTGTCCCATCCTGCTCAGCAATCCAGGACCTTGCTTCTTGTGAGAAGAGAGTTCCTAGAAACCAAAAAATGGAAGTATCTCCGGTGAAACACGTCGCAATATTCCAAGATTCAATACAAAAGGACACCCAATTAAGGGAATAAAATTAAGATACAATTGTTTCGTAGGCATCAATCTTTTTAATGTTAGCTTGAAGCAGATTAGTTTTATTCAGGTACAGTGTCTCCTTTAAGTGGCAGCCTCCTTGATAATATTCCCTTTCATAGTACTTATGGTAAAAGCAGGTACACAGTCTTTCCTCAGACCATAAATCTTTAAAAGAACAGGGTTTAACAGACAGAATAGTGCTCAGTGAGATGCTAGAGAAGACAAGGAAAATATGACATGCCACTTATAATAGGAATTTAATAGGAAATGATTGAGAAAGATTTCTCAGGGCCTAAGTCATACTCAGAAAAAGAGAACTGGGAAACTTCATTAATTCTTTGGGGGTAATAGTAGCTAACATTTACTGACAGCTTAATAACGTTCTGGGCACTATACTGACATTTTTATATAGGTAATTCACCATAAACCTATGAGGTAGGTTTTATTATTTTCCTCATTTACGGAAGAAAATAGAGGCACCAGGAAGTTAAGTAACTTGCTCAAGATACCAGAGCAATTAAGTGACAGAGCAAGAACTGGCATCCTGGAAGTCTCATTCCAGAGGCTTCACTATTAAGTACTAACTTGCTTTGCCCCCTTAAAGTCATTAGGATAGTTTGTAAGCAGACACTACCTGACCATAGCGCTTCAACCAAATGAAGTGGGTAAACTGTGACACCACCTTCACTGGTTGGCTGGCTATAGAGAAAATGTTTAATAAAATATGTAACTAGTTATTTCACACTTAACCTAGGAGGGATAACTATAGACTTGCAAAATCAATAGAAGAAATGCTATAAAAGAATACACCACACACAAACATATCCCTTCAGAAGCATGGCATAAAAGAACAAATAAAAAGAAAAAAGGACAAGGGATCCTGATTGGGGGCCACAACGGTTGTGGCCCTTGTTGAAACACAAGCTTGGGATCAAATAAAATACTACTGACTACCTAACCTACAGATAAAAATATGATATATTATTTACCCAAATATTAAATAGCACATTCTATCTTCCTCCAGCTTTCCTTTCTTGAATATCTTACAGACATACAAAGTAAACTTGTTTATTTCCAATTCAGTGTGTTTTTTTTGTGTGTGTGTGCAAATAATAACAGATGCCCTCCTTGACCAGGCAACACATCCATCCAAGAGTGCTATGGCCTCATTTGATAGAGTAAACATTATCAGAGACAGCACACATCACAACCGGCAAGCTGTTACTGAACCTGTTGACTGTGGAGAATATTTCTAACACTTCTAAGGTTCTTAAGTCAGGCCACATATTCATTTCACATAAGTCACAAAGGTTTTCCTTAGAGCAGGACTGTCAAGATTGAAATAAACAACTTTTTAGTTTCTACCACTGGCAACAACTGAGAGATACAAAACTCAACATTTTTCACTACTGTTTAATATTGACCCTTTGTCCTCTCTGGTATCTTTCTTGTTGAGTTATAGCTTTACAGAATAAAAGAAAAAACAAGTAGAATGGATAAGGTTTCTGTATTAGAAATTAGACACTCTCCCACTTAATTAAAGGAAAAGGAGATCATATTATCTATCTATCCAACCCTCCATCCATCCATCTATCTCCATTCATCCATCTATCCATTCAATAAATACTTTCATCCTAACTTTAAAAGCCCTGATCCATTATTACTCAAAATACAGTGCACCCTTGAACAGTACAGGTGTGACCTGAGCAGGTCCACACATGTGGTTTTTTTTTTTTTTTTTTTTTTTTTTTTGAGACAGAGTCTTGCTCTGACGCCAGGCTTAAGTGCCATGGTGCCACCTCGGCTCACTGCAACCTCTGCCTCTTGAGTTCAAGTGATTCTCCTGCCTCAGCCTCCCGAGCAGCTGGGATTACAGGCACGCGCCACCATACCCAGCTAATTTTTGTGTTTTAGTAGAGATGGGGTTTCACCATGTTGGCCAGGATGGTCTCGATCTCTTGTCCTTGTGATCTGTCCACCTTTGCCTCCCAAAGTGCTGGGATTACAGGCGTGAGCCACAAAGCCTGGCCACATGTGGACTTTTTTCAATAAATATATTGGAAAATCTTTTTGAGATTTGTGACAGTTTAAAAAACTCACAAACCACATAGCCTAGAAATACAGAAAAAACTGAGGGAAAGGTATGTCATGAATGCACAAAATATTTGTAGATACTAGTCTATCATTTACTACCCTAATGTATAAATCTTTTATAAAAAGTTAAAATTTATCAAAATGTATGCACATATTTTGACTCACATGCCACCATTTGCAGTTCAGAGAAATGTAAACAAACATAAAGATGCAGTATTAAATCATAACTGCTTAAAATTAACTATAGTGCACTGTATTATTGTACTATTTTTGTAGCCCTCCTGTTGCTATTTGTGGAGAGTGCAAGTATTGTGAATATTCACTTAAAACACCATGTGATGCTAATCATCTCCGTATGAGCAGTTCATCTCTCCAGTAAATTGGGTATAGCAGTAAAAAGTGATCTCTTGTGGTTCCCATGTACTTTTTTTATTGTGTTTAGTGCAATACTCTAAACCTGGAATAATACCATGGGACCCATATGAAATGCCACAAGTGATGCTGGAAGTGTTCCCAAGAAGCAGAGAAAAATCATGGCTTACAAAAAAACGTTGCATTGCTTGATAAGTACCATAGATTGAGGTCTGCTGCCATCATTGCCCTCCATTTCAGACCAACAATTCATCTTGTAAACAGACAATATAAACTTATAGTATCAATGAATACAGTAAAATACTGTAAGTGTATTTTCTCTTCCTTGTGATTTTCTTAAATAATATTTTCTTTAGGTTACTTTATTGCAAAAATACAGCATATAATACACAAAAGATATAAATTGTGTTAACCAACTGCTTATATTATAGTTAAGGCTTCCAACCAATAGCAGGCTACTAGTAGTTCAGTTTCTGGGGATTTAAAAGTTATATTTGGATTTTCAACTTCATAAAGTCCCCAACTCCCATGTTGTTCAAGAGTCAACAATAGTGTCAATGAAAGAAATATATTTATATCTGTTCAGCATTTGCTATTTATGCAAGAAGCATGCTGACATTAAAACAAACTTTATCAACAAAATAAATGTGTGTGTGTGTGCACGCGTGTGTGCGTGCACATATATAGGAAAAAGATAGAAGACTTCTGTAATACTTATATGTAGACTTGATATTGGGTTATATCTGAAGGATAACTCTCCGGTGTTTCTGAAAAATTCCATCTCAATGCAAGTACACCACTGCCTGATTTGTAAAGGCAGACGAGGAAAAATACAAAGATACAGACACCCAAAGACTGTATAAATAAAAATTAGTTACCCAAGCTTGTGCAGTGAGAAAAATTTTGAAGTCTTCATTAAATGTTAAAGTTGGATGATCAGCAATTCGGTTCAAAAATTTATGTAAAGCTTTCCTGCGTGTCTCAATGAAGTCATCATTAAAGCGTTCCACCATTCCTTTTACCATAAACTTTTCTGGCAATGGCTAAGGCAAAAAGAAAATAAAAAAGGTATCTGAGTATTAAGTGCCACAGGTTTATAAGGAATTCTATATTTTCCCCTTTTGGAAGACTAGTTGAACATCTAACCATTTCTTATAAAAATAATTTTTAAAAATTCACAATGTTAGAACCAAAAATGAGAAATCATAACACATTATGAAGAATTTTTTTAAAATGTATACATAGATTAAAACATTTAGAAATAATGTTCCTAAGATAAATGAATTACAGTGAACTTAGGTCTGAAATTAGCTTTTAGGCATTCTAAAAGACTCACTAGAAAATTGGTAGCTATTCTATGAAAAAAAATTTTGTAAACTTACTGGAATAATCAGAGTGGGGTGTGCTTCTTCCAGTTTTCCCTTCAACCAAAGGAAATCTTGATACCGTCTCCTAACTTCAAATTCACTGGAGTCAAATTCCCCACGAGATGTCTGAAGAAAGCAGGAGAAAATAACAGCACATGCAATAGAAGATAGAAGATATTTGCCTAATGTTATTTTAGAGATTGTGAAATAAATGGGTCTCTAAGAAAAATTAACAAATCCTAATTATTCAGTGTTTGTCAGCCTGTAAGTTTTTTTTGTCATCTATTCATGTAGCAGATGAAACAAAGCAAACTTTCCAGTATTTCCAGAAAGAAAGCAAATATCATACTTAAATTTAAAATCCAAACTGAAAAATCTGTCTTACAACAACCATCTGCCTTCCACAAGATTTTAACTACTATTATCTTTGGCATGACTTTCTTGCTAACAAGAAAGTGTGTTCTGAATTTAGGTTTCAAATATATTTCTTTTCTCAAGATGATTAGAATTCAGAATTTGAGGAAAGTCCTATTTTTGCAATTTGGAAAATAACCTGAATGTAACTGAGAAAAATGTTTTCTTGGAATTCGCTCAAATGAATTGCTGTGCTAGGATTTGCTTTTGGTATATGAAAGTTCTAACATTTTACCAAGTGATTTTATCACTGTTTTAAAAGATGTAATTAATAGACATTTGATGTGAAAAGAAAATCTTCCTGTCATTTCTCAAGGAATTTTATTTTGGGTTATATGCCTAAACTTCTAAAACTTAAGCAAATACATTAAAATATCAGTTCTCAACAAACCAAAAATCCATGCCAACACATATGACAAGAAGAACACAGGTACAGTATCAACCTCATTTCTATTGCCTGAGTCCCAAGTCAAAGACAAAAATATCAATTCATCTAATGCATACTCACTTCTCATAAGAAAAAAGTCACTCACACCAATACCTTATTTAACTGAATTTTTGCATGTTAAAAATTACACGCAGAATGTTTAGGTTGAGATTTTCCTGCGGAAGTAAAGATGGAATAACACACTGCAAATATATTTCACACTCACCAAATATCAATCACCCACACAGATGGACACAATTGTAAAATTAAACAGTCCAAGTCATAAAATGCAATCTTCATTGTCAGAAAATAAGGTCCATGAAAGCTATACTTTCCAAAGTTCATTCTCTTAAAATGAATGTTCAGAATATCATATAATGTCTCTTTGTACAACATTCCATTTATAAATGGGAAAAAGTGGGGCAAATGAAATGCAGAAGTCTAAGAAACGAAATGGTCACAAAACACTACAAAATCTCAGCTATTATGCAAAATGGTACAAGATACAGAAATGGTAAGAATAGGAAAACTAAATCTAGTACCAGCATAGTTTAACAATATAGACTGGTTGGTGTATGTCCATATGCAAATAGACACACGCATGTACACATACATATGCACCCAAAACATGGTTTACAGCAACTCATTAAAAAGTATTACTGAGCACCTCCTTATGCCGGGTACATATGTACAGGTTCACTACCAATTTCTCAGAATATAAATTGGTATAATGAACAATAAAGCACTCAAAAAGAAAAAACCCAGCAGTTAAAATAAGATTGAGCTATACATGTCCTCAAGAATATCCAACATTTTAAGTAAACACAAAACAATCTGGTATAAATTCCAAGAAGATATAAAAGCAAGTCAAATAATTGGTTCAGTCTATCCTTACTACTCTGTCATTGACTCAAAAGAATTCCCTAATGTACTGCAACAGAAGAAGACGACAGAGGATATATGCAAGTATGGAGGAGAATATGTTACTTCTTCCCACTCTTAAGATTTCATTCTTCTCCTGAAGGGTTATAAGGATACATATGTAAGAATATGATGAGGAAAACAGTCATTATAAGCTGGGTTTGGAACAAGACTAATTTCCCTATGGCAAGGATTAGAATCATTGTCTACTCTAAAGTGAACGAATTTGGTCATTATAAGATGCCAGTATACAGTGGCTCACTCCTGTAATCCCAGCACTTTGGGAGGTCGAGGCAGGCAGATCATGAGGTCAGGAGCTTGAAACCAGTCTGATCAACATGGTGAAACTCCTGTCTCTACAAAAATACAAAAAATTAGCCGGGTGTGGTGGTGTGCGCCTGTAATCCAGGAGGCTGAAGCAAGAGAATTTCTTGAACCGGGGAGGTGGAGGTTGCTGTGAACTGAGATAGCACCACTGCACTCCAGCCTGGGCAACAGTGCAAGACTCCATCTCAGAAAAAAGAAAAAAAAAGATGCACAAAAGCTTCCTAATTGTAGGAATAACTGAGTTTGATGACGTATCTCCAACTTAGAAATATATTTTATAAAGTGCATTTGGAGTACAAATAATGCTTCTAACATAGAATACAGTTTTCCATAGAAGCAATATTGTAAATGGTGGCCAATTTTTCATGTCTGACCATAAAAGCTTGGGGACTTAAAGTTTAGTAATAATGAACTCGAGTGAACTATACACCAAAATGCATTCATTGCAAAAATAACAATCTTCAGTCAAGTATGAACAGTTATTCTATACTCTGAGAATTTAGAAAACTTTTTTTGAGGGAAAATGAATTTTAATAGTCAGTTCAGCCAATCAAGAACACAGCTTAACCCCTAACTACATAATGACAGGCATTAATAGGTTTGTTTTCACAAAGAGGAAGTAGAAGGAAAGTCCCTTGTTCAATCTCTTAGTTCTTACTCCTATATGTACTAAGAGAATATGCATCTCTAGATCTCCAAAAGAGAAAATACATCTTTAGAACAGTCACTTCAAATATGCTAACCTAGACAATAAAGGGTAATTTCCCATAAAATGAACAGACACCAGGAATGTGGTCTTCCTGATACAATCATTTACAGTTGGATCATTCTTAAGTATTCCTAAATAGGTGATTGTCAGTGTACGTATGTGTATATTCATTTACCCTTATAATCCTTAGTGTCAATGAACATAAATATTTACAAAACTAAGACGTTCCCAGGGAAGCCATATTTCAACCTCCAAATTAGATGGTGTAACTCATGCTCATAGTATGCAATATTTTTCCTTTAAAACATTTATAACTATAAAGAAATAACTTAGTGTATGATACGGTTTGGCTGTGTCCCCACCCCAATCTCACCTTGAATTGTAATAATCCCCATGTGTCAAGGGTGGGGCCAGGTGAAGATAACTGAATCCTAGGGGCAGTTCCCCCATACTGTTCAAATGGTAGTGAAGAAGTCTCCTGAGATCTGATGGTTTTACAAGTGTGAGTTCCCCTGCATAAGTGTTTTCTTGCCTGCTGCCATGTAAGATGTGTCTTGCTTACCCTTTGCTTTCCACCATGACTCTGAGCCCCCAACTCCAGCCATGTGAAACTGTGAGTCAATTAAACATTTTTCCTTTATAAATGACCCAGTGTTGGGTATGTCTTTATTAGCAGCATGAGAACAAACTAACACAGTATATAATTGTTTAATATCATCATACATACACACATCCCTTCCTCAGAATGAAAACACCAGGAAGACAGAAAGTTCATTTTGTCAGACCTATCCTTATTACTGACGTATTCTTAATACATAAGCACAATACCTGGAATATAAGGGGCACTTAATAAAAGCTTGTGGGATAAATAAATGATAAGTGAATAAGAAAAGACTACTTGATAACATAATATACCTCTACTATTTATATATTTGTATCAGTAATATGTATTTCTGTAACATATATTCTGTGTGTGTACATATATATATACACATATATATAGTCTATATACTATGATATAGTAAAAGTAATGAGAAGTAGAATGAAGGAAGCTAGTTTGTAATAGTTAAATTGAAAGTTTATAATATCCATAACTAAATGCACAAAAATACAACAAAAAAATGTATAGTATGAAAGTAAACTGTGTGGATTTAAATCTCAGCTCAGCTAATTACTATGTTGTGTAGCCTTTAACAAGCAACCAAGTTTCAGCATCCTCATGTGTGAAATGGGGGTAAATCATAATATCTATGTTTACGGACTATGGATTACTATGAACCTAAATGAGTTAACAGAAACTGGTTAGAATATTACTTGGCACAAAGGAGTCACACGGCAAATATTCTCTAGTTTATACACTTTAATATTATTATTACCAACACTATTCCTACTTCTATAAGACCAGTCCATTTAAAGTACGTTGTAACAAGAACAGAAAAATCGAAACACCACATGTTCTCACTCATAGGTGGGTGTTGAACAGTGAGAACACATGGACACAGGGAGGGGAGCATCACACAGTGAGGTCTGTTGCGGAGGGACAGTATGGGGTAGGGAGTTGGGGAGGTATAACATGGGAAGAAATGCCAGATATAGGTGACGGGGATGGAAGCAGCAAACCATATTGCCATGTATGTACCTAAGCAACAATCCTGCATATTCTTTACATGTATCCCAGAACCTAAAATGCAATTTTATATATACATATATATATGCATAATAAATAAAAATAAAATAGGTTGTAAATATGAAAAACTCAGAAGAACTGTATGTCTGTGATCAGAATGAAATTCATAAGGTTTTAGAAAGAGTACCTTTCTAAGAGACCCAAGTGATGAGAAAATAATTCAGTTTGACAACTTATTTGCTATGATGGATAATGACAATAGATAATTATAACATTAGTAATAGGAGAAATCTGGCTGTATTCCTGGCAGTATGCCTGCATTAACATATTCAATTTTCATAAAGACTTTATGAGGTTAGCACTGTTATCCTATTTACAAATGAGGAAACCAACAGAGAGTTTAATTAAATTGTCCAAGATACATAGCAAGGAAGGGGAGAAACCAAGATTCAACTCCATGTTGTCTTGCTCTACCACATCTTGATAAAGCTAAGGTAATTCCTTTACTCATTTCATCAGCAAAATAAATTGTTTACTTATTATGTCCTAAGTATTGTGTTTGGAAGTATGGATAACTTAAAATATAGTTATCTTCCTTGAGAAACTCACAAACTCACTGAGCATAAATATAAATAAACATAGTTACCTATCCAAATACAGGGAGATGGCAATTACTGAACACTTATCATGTGTCAGGCACCTTACTAAGTGGGGTTGGCATTGATTATTGATTCGACTGCAACCCTACAGAATTGGGTTCTATTATCTCAGTTTTACAGATTAAAAAAAAATAGCTTAGTTGGATTAAATATATGCTTTTGATGTTATGCTATATTGACTCTAATGTTTTACATTCCTTAAGACTTCAATAGAACAATATGAGAAAACAGAGGAAAAATGACTATTTCAGCTAACGGACAGTAACAACTAGAGAAGGCTTCACAGGCATCTAACATTTCGAGTTGCACATTGAAAACTACACATGATTTCTTTTGTCTAAGAAGGGGATGGACACAGCAAACAGAAGGAAAAGTATATGCAAAGTTATGAGAGCAAGAGATCCCCTAAATATTCAGAAAACAGAAGCAGCTCTACATGATTAGATAGCAAGGGTACTAATGTGAGGTGTGAGAAATAAGTCTTCAGGATAAGTTGGCACCGGACTGAGAAGCCTCTTTACATGTCATACAAGAAAGTCTGCACTTCGTTCTGCCTGAAATCAGGGGCCAAGAAAGGATTTAAAGAATTCGAGTGAAGAAATCAGGTACATATATTTTCAGGAAATATAACCAATAGTAGTGTGGCAGTTTCGTTGTAAGAAGCAATTATAGGAACATAGTTCAGAACTTTTTTAACTAAAAAAAAGAGACATACTTTTATATTTATGAACTGTAAATGTCTAAGGTGAGGCTTTATAAACAAAATATTATACAGAGAATTCTTTAAAAATGCTATTAAATAAAGGACTTAAAATACAGATTATCCTAAATGGTTGCTTAATTGTGTCTGAGGTAAACTGTCTTTGCAGCACTCTGCCCTAAGATTAAAGAGATCTGTGTTCTAACATCTACTTTGCTCTTGAATTATTGCATACATAACAGCATCTCATATATAAGACAAAGTGGCCACCTGCCCCACTTTGGAAAACAAATGGTATTATATTTTATAATCTTCCAAAGAAATCCTAAAACAAACTACTGTGTCCTATTTAACTATTTTCTTTTTTTATTAACAACTTGAAGCCCATCTTTTCCAATGGTATTTCTTAATAATTTTTTTAAACTGAAAACCTAGATGTTCTTATTCTAAGAAGTTATCACTGCTGTAAAATGAGTGACTATTTCTCAAGTCAATTTGAACTTCACAGAACAAATAAAGGGCGGATGAGATGCAATGTCCTAGCCAAAAGGTTTGAAAAACTAAAAGTCAATTTAGCTAAGATCCTAGAATGTTGAGAATTACAATGAACAAGAGGTACTTACTTCCAAAACTTCAAAAAACGCAGCTATATTCAAGAAAATATTAATCCAACATTTACCTTAGTAATAATCCTATATGTAATAAAAGTTTCTATTGTAGTGACGTGACTTTCAGGTTCATCAACTGTGATGAAGAGATCCTTTAAATCTGGTTCATCCTCAAACTTGATTTGGTTTATCATTGATAAAGGGGATGTTGGCATCATAGGGCTGAAGGAGTTCATATCCATCAATGAGGCATCCTAAGAAACAAAATATTCAAAAATGAATATTGACAGAAAAATTAAACTTCTAATTACAGATGTTATCAATAGTAATGAAATATATCAAGAACAAAAAGGATTATTGGGCTTTTAGTTAAATGTGATATATTGAACATGTATATTTACCTGTTTCCTCTTGAAAATCCCACCCAAAAGATGATACTAAAGAAACAAACAAATGAAAAGTATAAACCCTTAAGAATTGCTATGGTTTGATTGTTTCTGTTCTTGCCAAATGTCATGCTGAAACTTAATCCCCAATGCAATAGTATTAAGAGGTGAATCCTTTAAAGGTGATTAAGTCATAAGGGTAGAGCCCTCATGAATGGTACTAGCTGCCTTATAAGAGGGCTGGAGGGAACTAGCTAGTGCCTCTTCTGCCCTTTCACCTTCTGCCATGTAGGGACACAGCAAAAAGACACCATCTTGGAAGCTGAGAGCATCCCTCACCAGATGCCAAAACTGCCAGCACCTGATCTTGTACTTCCTAGCCTCCAGAACTGTGAGAAATCAATTTCCATTATTTATAAATTACCCAGTCTCAGATATTTTGTCATAGTAGCACAAATGGTCTCAGGCAAGGGTAAGAAAAGCTATAGTAAGCAAAATGTGTCAACTACTTTTTGGAAACTGGAGATCTTGATCGTCAAGCGGTAACTAAAACAGCAGTGCAGAGAAAACTGAAAATTAGTCTAGAAGAGAATAGTAAATTAGGAAGAAGCAAGTATATTTATGATGCAGAATGTCAGATAGCCTCAAGTATTGGAGCCACCAAGAACCTGTGGACACACAGGTTGTGACAGAGCAAAAAACCAAACAATTGGTTATTAAGATCTAATACAATAAAAAAGAGTTAGAACCTCAGATTCCCTCATCTACCCTATGCAATGAGGAAACTTTCCCACCCCAATTTGACAGAACACTGGAAGTTTACTTTCTGAAAGGTCTGGACTCAAGAGCATCCAGTAGGACAGAGGAGAGGTCCTATGAAAATACAGATATCAAGTGAAAGTCCTGCATACCAAACCAAAAGACATGTAACCCTCCTCACCTGGTCCCAAGAACACTGGCAGGAAGGTACAACTCCCACCCCATCACTTGTCCATTTAGGATGCTATTAAAGAAAAATATGATCAACTAGCTAGCTTACAAATAACAGAAATTTATTTCTCACAATTCTAAACTAGGAAGTCCAAGATCAAGATGCCAGCAGATTCAGTATCTGGTGAGGGCCCGCTTTCTAGTTTACAGAACAGCTTCCTCTCACTATAATCTCACATGGTAAAAAGGGTGAGGGTCTGTGTTGGGTCTTTTATAAGGGCATCAGCCCTAATCATGAGAGCTTCACCCTCGTAATCTAATTACCTCCCAAAGTCTCCATCTCCTATTATCATCACCTTGGCAATGAGCATTTCTATATATGAATTCTGGGTGGATACAAATATTCATACCACAGCACCCACCACAGTTTCAAGTTTCAGCTTGGATTTCATTGTCCATATTAATTATCAGCATTTTAGTCAAAGTAATTGAACAAATCTCTAGGAAGTTCCTAATTTTCCCAAATTTTCCTGTCTTCATCTGAGCCCTCCAAACTGTTCCAGCCACTACCTGTTGTCCAATTCCAAAGTTGCTTCCACAGATATCTTTTCAGCAGCTCCCCACTCTAAGTACCAATGAACTGTATTAGTCTGTTTTCATCCTGCTGATAAAGACATAGCTGAAACTGGGCAATTTGTATGGGAAAAAGAGTTTAATGGACTTACAATTCCACATGGCTGGGGAAGCATCACAGTCATGGTGGAAGGCAAGGAGGAGTAAGTCACGGTGTAATGGACAGCAGCAGGCCAAATAACTTGTGCAGGGAAACTCCCGTTTTTAAAACCATCAGATCTCATGAGACTTATTCACTACCAGGAGGACAGCACGGGAAAGATCTACCCCCATGATTCAGTTGTCTCCCAGCTGTTTCTTCTCATGACACTTGGGAATCGTGGGAGTTAGAATTCAAGATAACATTTAGGTCGGGACACAGCCAAACTCTGTCACAGGCCAAGGCAGGAGCATCGTTTGAAGCAAGGCGTTTGAGACCAGCCAGGGCAACATAGCAAGACCTTATTACTACAAAATATTTTTTAAAACAGCAGGAGAATGAAAATGTAATCATAATTCACTATATGGCTCTGCTGTGAATAAAAGTAATTATTTTCTTAAACCTGGATCTACCTTAAAATGGTGATAAATTAAGACGATGGGAGAGAGAAAAACCTATGTCTGTATTTGAGAAAAGGAAACATAGCCTATGAAATAGTTTCAAAGAGGTCTATACCACATTAAAAAATGAAAGATGAGAAATGGTTCCAGATGGAAAGAGACCAGTGGTATAACGGTGATATAAGAGGAATAATGGGGCAACATGTTTCCAGCTTACTCTCAATAAGTAAAAGTTTTCTCATCCCTTCTTTTCTCTCTTTTGCTTTCTCTATCCTTAACCTTCTTGTATCAATCATAGTTTATCTACAGATGTAACACAGGCACGCTTCCTCTCACATTTATGTCATCATTCTATCAGTTTTCTTCCCTTCCTTTTTTCCTTTGTCCTCCTCTGACTTTTTTTATTCCTTCTTCCTTGTTTTTCTCTTCTTCTGTTTTTCCTTCCCTCCTTCGCTTACTCCCCTTTCTTGTTCTGTTTCCCACCATCTCTTTTTCCTTCCTCCCTTGCTTCCTTTATTCTTTGTCCCTGTCATGTCCTTGACTCCTTGGATGTGTATTTTCCTGGTCCGGTCTATATGGGCTGTTCTCTCGGTTTGCTGCAAAGCTGTCAACCTGGAACATTATCTTCCAGGGAATTCCCTTCACTTTAATCTTCTGTTGTATCTCTTGTTTTGGGATTCTATGTCTTCTTTCTTGGCATATACCCTTATTTTGGAGAAGTAAAGAAGCTTCCAAAGAATAGGTACATGGGAGTTTAGTTTTTGAAGTCTTCTATGTCTGAAATGGCTTTATTCTGCCTGTATATTTGAATGACAATTGCCTGGCTATGTATAATTCTAGGTGGAAAATACTTTTCTCTCAGAATTTTGAAGACATTAGTTTATTATTTAGTTTTCAGCATTGCCATTTAAGAACTCTGATGGCATTCTGATTCTCCAGATTCCTCCTTTATTTTACTTACATTTCTTTCTTAAATCATTCAGGAATTTAAAAATCTTTAGTATTATGAAATGTCATGGTGATGGATGCTTGTAGGAGTACTAACTATCCAACCAGTGTCCTGTTCATTTTGGGGAGACCTGACAAGTCCTATCAACCTGAAAACATTTTATGTCAATCATATTTTTCTTTCTCATTTTCTGGAATTCCTTTTATTTGGGCACTGCCTGCCTGGATCCTTTCATTAAAAAAAATTCTTGGAGATGAGGTGGAGATGAGGAACTTGTTGGGAACTAGAACAAAGGTGACTCTGGTTATGTTTTAGCAAAGAGACTGGAGGCATTTTGTTCCTGCCCTAGAGATTTTTGAAACTTTAAACTTGAGAGACATGATTTAGGGTATCTGGTCGGAGAAGTTTCCAAGCAGCAAAGCATTCAAGACGTGACTTGGGTGCTGTTAAAGGCATGCAGTTTTACAAGGGAACCAGAGCATGACAGTTGAGAAAATTTGCAGGCTGACAATGTGATAGAAAAGAAAATTTCCTTTTCTGACGAAAAATTCAAGCTGGCTGCAGAAATTTCCATAAGTAACAAGGAACCAAATGTTAATCTCTAAGACAATGGGGAAAATCTCTCCAGGGAATGTTACAGGTCTTCATGGCCTTCCTTCCCAGAGGCCTAGGAGGAAAAAGTGGTTTCATGGGCCAGGCCTAGTGTCCCCATACCGCATGCTGCATCCCAGCCATTGCAGCTGTTTTGGCTATGGCTGAAGGGGGCCAACATATAGCTCAGGTCATGGCTTCAGAGGGTGCAAGCCTCAAGCCTTGGCAGCTTCCACGTGGTGTTGAGCCTGTCAATGCACAGAAGTCAAGAACTGGGGTTTGGGAACCTCCACCTACATTTAAGAGGATGTATGGAAATGTGTGTATATCCAGGCAGAAGTTTGCTGCAGGGACAGAGCTGTCATGGAGAACCTCTGCTAGGGTGGTGCAGAAGGGAACTGTGGGGTTGGAGCCTCCACAGAGAGTCTCTACTGGACCACCACCTAGTGTAGCTGTGAGAAGGCGGCTACTGCCCTCCAGACCCCAGAATGGTAGATCCACTGACAGCCTGCACTGGGCACCTCAAAAAGCAACAGACGCTCAATACCAGCCTGTGACAGCAAACAGGTGGGAGGCTATACCCTGCAAAGTCACAGGGGAAGAGCTACCCCAGAACATGGGAACCCATCTCTTGCATCAGTGTGACCTGTCTGTGAGATATGGAGTCAAAGGAAATCATTTTGGAGCTTTAAGATTTGACTGCCCCGCTGGACTTCAGACTTGCATGGGGCCTATAACCCCTTTGTTTTGGCCAGTTTCTCCCATTTGGAATGGCTGTGTTTATCTAATGCCTGTACCCTCATTGTATCTAGGAAGTAACTAACCTTTTGATTTTAGAGGCACATAAGTGGGAGGAACTTGCCTTGTCTCAGATGAGACTTCAGACTGTGGACTCCTGAGTTAATAGTGAAATGAGTTGAGACTTTGGGAGACTGTTCGGAGGGCATGATTGTTTTTGAAGTGTGAGGACATGAGATTTGGGAGGGGCCGGGGTCGGCTGTGTCCCCTCCCAAATCTCATCTTGAATTGTAACCCCCACAATTCCCACATGTTGTAGCCTACCACAACACCTGGTGGGAGGTAACTGAATCATGGGGGCAAGTCTTCTGGTGCTGTTTTCATGATAGTGAATAAGTTTCACGAGATCTGAAAGTTTTCAAAATGGGAGTTTCTCTGCACTCTTTTGGCCTGCTACCATCCATGTAAGATGTGACTTGCTCCTCCT